CTTTAAAAAAAAATCACATTACAGGAGATAATGTGTAAATTTAGAAGTGTTCTCTTCTGCTCTCGACTTACATAAAAAAATTGACTTTAGGTCTCCACGTCCATTTTTGGCGTGTCTTAAATGCTGTCACCCAAGCCACTTTTTTGTCTTCTAACCCACTTTTCGAGCATGTTTTACCAATACTCCCATCCGAATCGTTTGATAGATGGTATGTTTTAAATTTGTGTAGGATTTCGTCTCTGGGAATTTTATCCAAAGCCACAGGGATCCGTTAGAACATGAAAACGGGCAGATTTGTAACATTTGGCTCCTTGGTATCTGTTGCTGGGGACGCTTTGGCAGATTTGAGACCCCCCATTTTGATGCTGGTGAGCGGGTTGGGGGGGAGATGCTGCCCTTTCCATGTGCCCAGTGTGATCCAGGACAGATGACAATAGTGCCGAAGGCTCACTTCTCAGGATTCAGTATGTGAAGAACGTGGGATGGTGCCCTGTGGACAGTGAGCTCCCAGCAAATGCGCTGGTGGAGATTGGACTGGTTGGAGCACTCTGGCCCTTCTGGTTTGCAGAGTGACTTTGAGGGCTTATGAGGCGAAGCCTGGACACAGTCCTTGTCTGGGAGGCCAGGACCCCCGTGGGTTTTGATTTGGGGTTTTGGAGTGGGGGAACCAGTCCAGAGGGAAAGGAGTGGTGGTCTTGGGAGCGAGAGGAGGCCTGAGGCCTGTGACTCAGAGAAGCGGTCCCCGGGGCCTGCCCTCTGGCATTCCTAGAGTGGAATGTTTTAAATTCCCTGGGTTTGGAGCCTTTTTGCCCAGGAGGTAAGAGAAGCCTTGACCAGTCTGTAGATAGGACTCAGAAAAACATTTATGCTCTGTCTTGCATGTGTCCGTACTTCAAAGCTGGCAAAAGCTTAACTCAAGACCTGTGGGGCCGCCAGGTTCTGCGTGTGCCCAATGTCTGTCGTTGTTGTCATGGTCATTGTTTGCCATCTCACCATGTTGGGTGACAGATGACACGCACACCCCTGGTCCTGGGTGAGGATGGACAGTGGCTGCGGGGTGTGTGCGTGTGTCCAGCTTTACAGGGCGCATTTGCATGACCCTTTGTAAATAAGGGCTGCTTTGAATACCCACCTCAGGTGCACCTGTGTAGCGGGCCCTGGGATGCCCGATTTAGATGGCTGATGGTAATTTGAAACTGAAACAATCAGAAGTATGTATCTCGAGAAAAAAAGAAGAGCAGTGGGGGCCAAGACCCTTCGCCCCACCCCTGCACCAGAAGTCATCACCCAGTTCGGGCTTTCCATGTGGATGGCATCGGTCCACTTGGACCGCCAGGCCCGGGCCCAGGCCCTGCCTCTAAGCCAGACTTTTCCCTCAGATACTCTATTTCATTGAGGGAATTAGCAAAATGAAATGGAAGTGGCTGGTGTGTTCACATTACTTTATGAAGCTCTAAGCCATGCATTGCTTTTTCCAGCTGTGCACTGTTTCTCCGGACCAGCGGTTTCTGGCCCCAAAATGAGAAATGAGTATGGGGGTGGTAAAAATCAGGGTAAAATTAATTTCTAAAGTTTGGAGACACTGAGGGATGGTGTGGGGGGCAGGGGCAAGGGTTCTTTTTTGAATGGGCAAGGCCTAAGGGCCTTGTAGCTCTGTGTGTGTGTGTGTGTGTGTGTGTGTGTATGTATGTATGTATGTGAGAGAGAGAGAGAGAAGGAGGGAGAATGGAGAGGGGGCAGAGGGTCAAAGGAGATACCAGAGAGGGACCTAGAGACCCAGAAGGAGTGGGAGGGGGCCCTAGGAGTGGTGGCAGCTCTGGGTGTGGGGAGGGGTTACTATTTGCATAACTGATTGTTGCTCCAGGGGATTGTGGTGGGGGAAGGGAGGCCAGCACAAAGGCTCTTTCCTCCCCTCCCAGACCCCTCCTTTCTCTTTTCCCCTTTTGTCCCCCCTTTCCTCCCCTGGCGCCCTTGAGCCTGGTCAGCACCACCTGTGCCCTCATGGATGGCTCCGGGTTGGCCCGGCCCTGGTACCCGGCTGACAGGTCTTGACTGTCAGGCTCCTGTTGCAGGCAGGGCCACCACAGCCGCCTGTGGAGTCAAGATAAAGTCCAAAGGAAGGCCCCTGGCTGTGCATCTCTCTTTAAAAGCTTGTACTTTGGGGTGCCTGGGTGGCCCAGTCGTTAAGCAGCTGCCTGTGGCTCAGGTCAGGATCCCAGGACTCTGGGATCGAGCCCGCATCGGACTCCCTGCTCTGTGGGAAGCCTGCTTCTCCCTCTCCCACTCCCCCTTGCTTGTGTTCCCTCTCGCTGTGTTGCTCTCAGTCAAATAAATAAAATCTTTCAAAAAAAAAAAAGGCTAGTTCTTTATAAAAGGCAGTTTCTGTATAAACTCCAAAATGCTTGTCTTGACTGTCTTTTCTGCCTGAAGGCAAGACTTCTGGGGGGGAGACTGTGGCCCATGTCCCCTCTCTTACGGTGGTTTCCCAGGGCCTGTTTTCCGGGGCCACAACCTGCCACTTGGGGATCCACCGGAGTTGAGGGTGGTTGCTGGAGGAGAGGGCTGGTGGCTGGGGTGGCCCAGAGCAGCCTCAGCCAAGTCTCGGAATGGGAGTCTCAGGCTGGTGAGCTAGAGATGGCCTTGAGTGAATTCCGTGTTTCGCTGTCTGGTGCACGCTGGAAGCAGTACTGTGTCCTCTGCAACCCCCCAACCCCCCCACAGCTTGGTTAAAGCAGTAACTGAATGGATGGTCAGGCAGGGATAAAAGAGTACCTAGTGGTTTTGTCATCCACCTCTGAGCCACCTCCCTGCCTGAGCCTCAGTTTCCCCATTGGTGAAATGGTGATGGCATTTTTCTGCCAGGCTGTCCTGAGACTCAAGTGAGATTCACTGTGGTGATTTTTGCCATAATGCTGAGCTCGCTGAGTCCTCCAGGCTCCAACCAGAGGGGCCTGCCTAGCAGCTGGGGACAGAAGCAGGCCCTAGACTGCTCTGTGGACAAGTAGAGACCGGACAAGTGGAGACCGTAGGGCAGAAAACTAGTGGGCAGTGCGGGGAGCTGAGCTCAGGGTTCGTCAGTGTCAGCGATCTCCAGCCTGTCTGTCTCATCTTGCCTCTCCTCCCCTCTCTCCCGTCCTCTCCCGTCCTCTCCCCTCCTCTCTTCTGTCTTGTTTGCTTTTTCACGAGACAAAGTTATCTGTTGCGAGGTAAGACTCTTACTTGTTCACCCAGGGCCTGGAGTGCCATGCTGCCATTTACGTCTTCCCAGGGGGGCTCTTCTCCCCTCCCCCAGGCCAGAGTTCCATATTTGTGTCCTTAGGCTTAGGCTGTTACCTTTCAACAAAGTGAGGACGGAAAGCATTTCAAAGCAAATTCCTGCCCTGGTGGCCAGCCAGTTCCCCTGATCACGCAGGTTGGGAGGGGGATGTGGGTATTGTGGACATCAGTCTCCAGGGGCCAAGGCTGGGTGCAGGTGTGGTGGGCTTGCCTCAGGGAGGGAGGCAGAGGCCTGAGGAAAAGCTTGTGCCCATGAACAGCTTCACTGTCCGCAGCGTTCTCTGACCCACAGCATCTTCATCTGTTAGGTGGGGTAATCGTTGAGGGTGATTTGTGAACCAGTTTCTCACTGGAAAATGTTAGGTATTTGGTACTGATAATCCTGGAAAGGCTTCAGCAGGTCATGAACTTGAGCTGGGAGGGGCAGGGCAGTGGATAGGATGAAGAAAAGGATGGCGGCCCTTTTGTGGCCAGCCGAAGGGCACAGGGGCTGAGACGGCCCTCTCAGGGTGGGTGCTCAGAGGAGCCCGTGTCCGCCTTGTGGGAGTCAGGAGCCAGCCTGGCCGCTCTGGCCACCCCCCAGATGCTCCGTGTGTCTCTACCTTGTGAACTTCTTGGGTGCAATATAGCTTGTTTTTCCTGCCCGAGCAGGTTTCTAGGCTCGTAGGGATGATGGGCTGAAAATAATAGCAGCTCTAGCTCCAGTGGTCGCAAATCACATATAGCCTGGGACAGGCCCAGCCCATGGCACGCAACTCTGAGGCCTCGGTGTGCATCCCTTGGCGGGGTTGGGGGGGATGGAGGGGGTGAGTCTGCTGAGCGGCATTCCTGTTTTTTAAAAACACTTGCTGACCCACCTAAGTCCAACCAGCATCGCCCCCCCACCCCCGCTGCCTCCTGCCCTCCAGGCCCAGTTGGCTGGATTTCAGTAACGCTTCTCAGCTCTACAACTAGAATTAGGGAGGGCAGTGCCTGCTTTATATAGAAGAGGAAACTGAGGCCCAGGCAGGGAAGAGGCCGACTTGATTGATGGAAAGAGGCCTCAGAGGCTCTTGCAAATTTCCCTCCAGCCCTTAGCAGCGGGCTGCTAGGTCTCACCTTGCTCCCAAGGCCGTTGCCATTAGCAACCAACTTCCCCTGTTGGTTCTGGGGGCCCTCGAGGGGAAGAGGGAAGAAGGTGGAAGCCTGGCTGTCAGTCAGTCAGGTGGCATTTGAGTGTCTGTGTCAGTGGGTTAGTGCAGGTGACACTGGGAGGAGGGCCTGGGCACATCAGAGCCATCCAGTGTGGGGGCCCGTTGGTTTGCTATTAATTGTTCCCAGTAGCGGGGAGATTACACACAGGGACCCTCGCTTTGTGCAAAAAGATGCCACATGGCTGTTATACCGTACACGCAAAAGAATAGAAAAGGGAGAAAAGCATTGGCAAAGTAGAGGACGACTAGGCAGCAAGGTCTGCTGGAATCGGGTAGACTTTGCTCTTGTCCTGGCCCAGCTGTTCTCCAGCTCTGTGCCCTTTGCTTAGTTACCTGGCTCCTCTGAGCCTCAGTTTACCTGTCCATAAAACGGGGCAAGGTACAGGTGTACGTTAGTAGCGCAGGTGTGTGATGGTCGGCACCTTCCCTGACACTCCCAGCTCCTTAGTGAAAGATGGCTGGTGTAAGAACCGGAAACCTGGGAAGGGTGGCTGGCCAGTCAGTCAGTTACATCTGTTGAGTGTCGTCTAGGTCCTGCCAAAAGCCTGGTGTCCAGGGATGCAAAACTGGGTGAGGATCGAGCTGATGGTCCAGAAGAACAGATGGATTTGACCATCGAGTGGATAGGTCTTGGTCTGTGCTGGGTTGGGGACCCTGGCAGAATCTGAGGGGAGCCCTGAGAGGGCTGTGTCTGGCTGCTGCAGGGTTTGGGGGGCTTTCTGGAGGGGACATTGCAGCAGGGCTTCAGAGAAGACAGGGAAAGAGAAAGCGGAGGGAAGCACATCCCAGGCAGGCGCAGGTCTTTGTCTTGGAGGACTGTGGGCAGTGGGCATTGGTAGCAGCTGACAGGTGGGCTCTTAGTCTGTGCTGGGCTCTGGTCTTGCCTGTGTGGGGTGACAGTTCCCGAAACTGACCCTGTGAGGCCGGCCTTATCCCATTCTGCAGTTGAAAACCTGGGCCACAGAGAAGTTAAGGGAGCTTTCCAGGCGCACACAGCATTCAGACCCCTAGAGCCAGGCTCCAGAGACACCCCCACCACCCCCCACGGCCTTGAGTCACTGCCTGGCCTGACAGGATCCAGATCTAGTTGCTGAGAGACAGAAGTTCATGAACTAGTGGTAAGACCCACTAGTTGGGCGTGTTGGGGAGTCCTCTCCGCCTCCGTTTATCTGTAAAGTGAGAATAACACATGTCCACGAAAACAAAGTGAGGTTCTTAGATGGAGTCTGCTTGTGGGGCATGCGCAGAGAGAGCTCTGTGAGCAGGGGGCTGTCACCCCCAGCAATTAAAGGAGGGGTGGTTGCAACTTAGAAAATATTCAACCGTAAGGCAGGCTCCCCTCCCCCACTGTCATTGTTTGAGAGGCCAGGAGCCTGTGGGACTTGGGCAGGATTAGATAAAACGTGGGCAAAGTGCCCAGCACAGCACTGGCACGCGCAGCCCCAGTAAACAGTAGTCATTTTCATTATTGTGTCTTATCTCTCGATATTAGTAATTATTATTGATGGTCCTCTCATCAGCCCTGTGGGGTGATTTTAGCTTCACTTTATAGAAAAGGAAACAGCTTGGAGGGTGGGTTATGCGTCCAAAGTCACAGTAGTTGGCAGGACCCGGGGAGATTCTGAGCTGGGTGTGTCACACTCCTGTCCCTGCCCTCCTGTGTTACATCATGGGAAGGCTCCAGAGGCCCTCCCGTGTGTCGTTAGGTGAGGTTTAACTCCTGACCCAGGTCTTCTCAGAGACAGCCTTCTAAACATGCCAGTTGTGTAGGGCAAAGCGTGCTTGTGGACATGTGGGCTCTTAGTCTGTGCCAGGCTCTGGTCTTGTCTGCGTGGAGTGACTTAACTGCCATAAACGTGTGACGCAGGCATTTTGCTGTTTTGCGGTTGAAACCTGGGCCACAGAGAAGTTCGGAGACTTTTCCAGGCTCACACAGCTTGGAAGACCCAGCATCCAAACCCCGAGAGCCAGGCACCAGAGACCCCCTCCCACCTGGATGCTTGAGCTCGAGACAGTGACTCTCCTCTACCAGCAGTGTCGTCCTGGGTGCGGGTGTATGACCCTGCCCTTGGCCAAATCCAGGTCCGGAAGACCTAAGTCTTGCAAGAATGTGCAGCTCCTATGCAGAAAGTCCAGTATGGTGACCCAGTACAGTTCTAAAAATAACGCAGAGAGAAGCGTCTGCAGCTCTGGGGCTGCTGGGAGACCTCAAGGCCCCCTTTGGGTTGTGTTCTGGCAGCGATGCCATGGCTTTTCTCCCACCTCCCCACTGCTGGGGAGAGGCGGCGGCCCTGTCGATTTGCACCCTGGGCCCTCTGGCTTTGGGCATTCAGGTCCCCAGGCTGTGTGCGCCCCCGCAGCACAGCAGCAAGCGATGCTGGGAAGCATCCGTGAAGACGCCGCTATCCCAGCAGCCCTTGGCCCCGTGTGCCGGGAGCAGAGAACCCTTCCCAAGTCTGGAACTGAGCCTCATGTCATCGGGGCTGCCACCCTCACAGCTCCCACGCTCGTGCTAATTCTTTGTTGATTTAGAAGCCTCTTCAGGATCGTGTAGTGCCTCAGGGCCACTCTTGTGGAGAGGAGCTGTAATCCCTCAGATATCATAATCCCCCACACTGGGTACTTTGGAACGCGGGCTCCCGTACATGAGCTTTTTGGCACCCTCCAGCAGTCCTGGGGGAGTGATGGACAAGGCTTCTTATCCTGGTTTGTTGATGAAAAGGCAGGTAGGTGGCTTTTGTGACTTTCCCCAGTCACACGTCCAGAGTACAATGAGGCTGTGAGTAAAATCCAGTCGGGAGGCTAGTCATGGGGTACGGGACAGATGGCAGGTGCTCGGCACGCACGCCCGTGCTCCTCCCTTGCCTGTGTCAGACATGGCACACTGATCATGGTGACTCTTTCTTGTGCCCGGGCTCGAGGTTATTTTCACTCGCGTGTTCAGCCAGCCACGGTCAGCTGAAGAACATCGGCCGGTGAGAGAAGTTCCTTGTCATCATTGTCCCGCACCAGCTGGAAGTTGGCCGGTGACGTCGTGTGCGTATCCTGATTGTTTGGATTTTTAGATAAGTGGAAGTCAGATGTGTACTGTAACTGGATTCCTGTTGGAGGCCTTGGACCTCCCTGCCAGAGCCAGCTACCAGCTTCCAGAAGGCCCGGGAGAGTCTCTGTGAGAGGCCTGGTGGTTGCCTGAAGAAGGACTGCTTGAGTCAGAGTGCCAGATGGGGCCCCAGAAGGGGATGAAAGGTGGAACGCACTAACTGCTGAGACAGGATCGAAGCCTCCTGGTTGGAGGAAGCGTAGAGGAGGCCGCACAGCTCCTTTCTATTCCAGACACCCTGAGCTCCATGCCACACCAAGATCCTCATGGGATGGGGGCTTCTCAGTGGTGCAGGGGTGATGACGTCGAGGGGTGTGTGCGCCTAGGAGGCCATGGGGGGGAATCCTGGGGGATCCCTTCTCGGCCAGAAGGCCAGGGACACGTTCTCAGACTGGTTGGTGAGTCTGAATACCCAGGCCGTGCTGGGTATCTTCCTACACCAGGTCTCAGGTGGAGGTTGAGTTTGAAGTTCTCATTCAAGTTGAACTTTGAATTCTGCTTCTGACCTTGGATAGCCAGACCACGAGCACTTCTTCACCTCAGCCTTTCCTCCGTACTGAGCCACAGAAACCATCCGCCACGGTCACCTAACTAGTGGCTCTCTTGTTTTGATCATGTAACTCTTCAAACATCAGCCGATTTCTTGCTGTCAGCCTCCACATGGATATTCTTGACCTTGGTTTCCAAGGTGCCTTTTCATCCGTCCACTTAGCTGTGCAGACCCTCTCATCTCCCCCAGCAGTGTCACCCTGCTCCCTGCCTTCCTGCCCACAGGAAGGCTCCCTGGTTCATCCCCAACCCTAAACCCGTGGAGCCTCTTCTGGAGTAAGTTCAGCTCAAGCCTTCACCTTCTCCGGGAAGACTGGCACGGCCCCTCCATTTGAGAGGACTTTTTCCCACATGAAATACACATTTAAAGAAAGTCAACTGGAACGGTTAGAAGGGACCGTACAGGCATAGGATTCAGTGGTTTTTAACTTACTTTTTTTCCCTTTGTAGTAGGAGAGCCCTTTCTTTAAATGAGGTCTTCTGTGGGAGACCAAATAGTAAAACAGAAAACACAGCTGTCCTCTAGTGTAAGGGAAGTGGGGGGCTGAGAGTCCTGCCCCTGAACTTCCCACCTTTATGTTTCCCCTCCTGCCCCTCGTGGCCCTCTGATTTAGTCCAGCTCCCAGGTGGAGGGGTGATGCCTCAGTGAGGGGGAGGCATGGGGTCCCCATTCCTCCCAGCCACCTCTGGGGTACTTCCTAGTCTGTCAGCATTCCCCAACTCTTCATTGAGATGCTCAGACAGGTTTCAGGGAAGGGTCTGCAGCCAGATGCTTGTGAGAAATGCAGGGGTAAGCGGTTTCCTTACCATAGGGCTTCTTGAGATTTCAGCGCATCGGGTTGCATTGCAGATCTGAGAATTGGGGAAGGGGAGGGTAGTGGAGGTGTGGCTAGACAGTACACAATACAGTGATTCTCAAACTTGTTTGACTACAGGACCTTACCTGGTTGAGGAATCCTAAAATGGTTTCAGAAATACTAAAAGTGGCGGGGGGGCACTTAGTAGCTCAGTTGGTTAGGCATCCGACTCTTGATTTTGGCTCAGATCATGATCTCAGGGTCATGAGTTTGAGCCCCGAGTTGGGCTCCATGCTGGGCATGGAGCCTGCTTAAGATTCTCTCTCCCTCTTCCTCTGTTCCTCCTCCCACTCTAAAGAAAGAACGAAAGAAATGCTGCAGGTGGGAAGTGACTGCATTGTGAGTTGGTGATCGATTCCCAACCCCTCCCCAGGACAACTGTGGATCCAGTTGTCAGTCGAGGGGACAAGTCCCTTTCCCCGGACTATGGCATAGCCTCTCTATCTCTCACAGCTGTCTGTTCTTCATGAAGCGTCTGGTTGGGTGTCCGGCACATGGCTCCCATAAAGCCCTTGCCCAGCCGTATCATTAGATACTTGCTGTCTTTTTCAGTGATCACCCAAAGCCTTCTAAAGTGTGATACAATTTACCTGACCCTCACTAGGGAACTTTTGGGATCGTTTCCACTTTTCTTGTACTGTAAACAGCACTGTGATGAACATCCTCGTGGCTAAAGGATTGTGCCCATCGATGGGATGGCATTCGTAGATGTGAAACGGTCGGGTCACGTGGTATCCACAGCACACTGTATAAACACGAGTGTTTCCGCACCACACTGCTTCACAGGCTTCTGAGTCTCACTTGCCCGCGCAGTTCCCGGCAAAGGTGCCGGCAAAAGTTCCTGGCATCGGAAGATGCCAGCCGCACTGGAAGCCTTGACCTTGGTAACCAGCACCTGGGAAGTCCACGCATGGCCTTGTGTTGTGGGCTGCACTGCCCTCTCCAGCCAGTTTGGCCCTGGAGGGCTGGAATCTGGCCCCTCATTCGATCTCCTCTCCCCCTGCCTGCTGAAGGCTCTAGTGGTCGGGACTTCATACATATTAATTGATTTAGATTTAGATGTTTTTCCCCATGTAAGAGCTTGGTAGCGGAGACCCATTTATCTGAATGCTTTTTATGTC